GGTTAATATCCAAAATAAATAAGGAAGAAATTAAGAGTAAGATAAAAAAAACATTTTAGAATGGGCAGAGGGTTTGAATAAAAATTTCTCAAAAGCAGGCATACATATAGCCAATATGTACATTAAAATTTCCAGGATCAATAATCATTAGTGAAATACAAATTAGAACCCCAATAAGATGTCACTTTATATCTGTATAAAATGGTAATTGTTTAAAAAAAAAGGGTATGGACTGGCAAGGATGTAGAGAAAAGGGAACACTTGTACGATGTTAGTAAGGATGTGAATTAGTAGAGCCATTACAGAAAATTATATGGAAATTCCTCAAAAAATAAAAGCTAAAAATAGAACTGTCATATGATCTAGTAATCTCACTTATGGGTTATAGATCCAAAGGAATTTAAATCAATATATCAAAGGCTTATCTGCACTCCCATGCTCATTACAGCATTATATTACATTCATAAAATGACAAAAACTATGGAGATGGAAAACATGCAAGCAGATAGGTGGATCTGAATACAAACAGGCTAGCATGAGGGAGTTCTTTCATACTAATGGAACAATTCTGTATCAGGATTGTCATGTGATTACATGAATCTATACATGGGCTAAAACTGAACAGAACTACACACATACACATACATATACACTCACAAACTCAGGTTAAAATGGTGACATTTCACATAACCACATGAGTAAAGACTATTTTCTAGACAATAGTAATATATGCATATTAATTTCCTTTGTTTTATACTATACTATAGCTTATATGTTGCCACCACTGTAGGAAGCTTCCACAGGTGAAGGTGAAGGATATATAGGAGAGTCTGATTTATTTTTGCAATTTCCTATAATTATTTCAAAATTAAAATTTTAACAAAAAATCCCTGGGTATAAGAACCTTAGGAGGTTTATCCGGTGTAGTATTTAAAGAAATTTGAGAAAATGCAGCAAAAAATTAGGAAGAAATTTAAAATATCAAGTAATCCCCTACATAGCTACTAAGATCTGGTATTTAAATACCCTAATGGAGAAAGAACTTCAAAGTCTAGAGAGAGAGCAGAGGGTGATGCTTTGGCATCTTGACTGGAGCATTCCCTCTCCCCCTTCTCACTAGAGACAACTCTAGACTTTCCTGCCATGTTGTCTTGTTCACCTGAAAAGTTAAAGGCTGTCCCTGTCCTCCTACATAAAGCCAACAAACTGCACAGTAGAAAGCTGTAAACAGAGCCATTATGCTGTACATTTGGCATTTCTTTGTTATCTGCCCAGGAACTTTCTTTTGAGGCTGTTCTCAGACTTGTTAAACATGTCCAAATATAGTCATTATAACCAGAGAGATGAGATAAGATGACAACTGATTTGAAAAAGTTACTATCTTCAGATTAACTCATCTTACCCTTGTACACTACATGGCTTCTATGAAAAGTATTATACATGAGACCAAAATAAAATCTGAAAAAAATCTGAAGTACAGATGGAATAGCTAATAATGCTTTTGTGTGGCATTTTATTTTATTTCAATAAAAACTACTCCAAAATATTTCATTTATTGATCAAATATAAATTTTAAATCCAGAGCCATATTTTTTCACCGTGTGAAGTCCCAATGCTAAATGTGTTATTGGTCATAGGCACTACAAATTCAATTGCATGTAGTTCAATTTTAAAAATATATGACATCAAACATATTTTTAAAACATAAGGTCAAGACATTGCTTTGGGAAACTGCACATAAAATGGAAAAGGTATCATTCTATGCTTCAAGGTACACAGCTGACAAATTCAAGAAAGATCGTTATTCCTGCAATTTAGTGTACTGATAGAGACCACTACAAAGTGGCTCTGAGCAGGATTTATTTTCTTTTTCTTTTAAAAATAAAAGGAGGAAAACATTAACAGACAGACAGACAACCTTTTACAAAATAGAGTTTAATATTAACCAATTGGCTTTCCATGTTGACTTGTACGTTGCCCAAAGCTCAGGCACCTTGTCTGGAGATGGACACTGGACTCATGGTAAGTGAACCTCTATGAGTCACTGGTCACCACTGAGGTCTGTATTGGCCTATGAAGCTGTGATGCCTCAAAGAACAAGATAAGGCCACAACTGAGACATTTGGCTCAAACCCCAATTAACTAAAGAGACTGCAGCTGCAGGCTCCACATCTCTACAATAAATACGAACCTAAAGATAAGGTAGTTCTCCTGATTGACATAATTTACTACTTTGGAAAATATTTCCCAACGTCCTGCTAGATTCCCATGTTTTCTTGAGTATCCTCCTCCTTTGTTTGAAAACCTAATAAATACAGGCTGCCCAGAGAAGTCTTTGTCTTAACCCAGAGAATCTCAAAGCCTGTAAGACAAATAGACCCTCCTGGAGCCCTACAATCATTTTAATTGTCTCATTTATTTAAGTCTTCACTGTCTGCTCATTTGGGAGATTGTGGGCCTTAGTTATCAGGCCGCAATAACTAAGGGTATTAACCCAACAGTGTACTAACATGACCAGTTCCACGTTATGTTAACAAGAAAAAAAAAAAAAGAAAACTCATGAGAATGGCCTTAAGTATTTCAAAAAAAACGAGATGATATTAATTATACTCCTTAGGACAAAACTAGGATTAATGACTAGAAATTAGAAAAACACTGTTATGGTTGATACACTGTGTCAACTTGGAGAGTCTAGAGGTTTGGCTAAATGACTCAGCATCCTGGGGTGCAAAGGACATGCCCTTCCTGCTCTAGGATGTTGTTCATTGTGTCAATGTGAGAAATTTAGAAGGCTAATTATGTGTGTGCCACCCCCTGGGTGGGGGTAGCCTGTTTACAATGTAAGGGAGGGAAAGAGGCTGCTTGCTGCCATTCCTCCCTTTTGCTCTTGTTTCTGCTGTGTTCTGCCACCATGAACGTTTGCCCTCTGCCATGTGCCACTCTGCCTCGGAGCCAGCCAAGTATGGACTGAAACCTCCACGAACTGTAAGCTAAATAAACCTTTCCTTCCTTCATTTCGGGCATTGGGTATTTTGTCTCAGCAATGAGAGAAAAGTAACAAAGACAAACACAGAAGAGAGGAAGGGTATGTTTAGTTAGTCTTTCAAATATTTTCAAATTAAAGCTCAGATACTTACAGAAATCTAGGCATAATAAATCACTGACAACTTTTTAACCTCAGGAATATCTGCTTAAAACTGTACTGGAGAGGTGTTCATTAGACCCTTTTCAAGGGTATGTCTTCCTCAGAGCCCCCACAGGTCAGAAGAAAGAATCTTGATACTCAGAGCACAAAAGAACAGCCCACAGGCACTAGATATAAGGGAGACCTATAGCACCTATAAGTTGACCTAAGCATCAAATTCTATCCACAAGGTATGAACTATATTAGGTGGAGATTAAATGACTCAGGCTCCACTCTCAAAAAGAATTTTACCTTTTAGGGAAGCAAAAGAGAGAAGTATAAAAGCATCAGAAGAAAAAGATAAAGAGAAAAACTGAACCCTGATTATGGCAAAGCAGCTACATACAAAGTAACTGACAGGCAATTCTGAGGGAAGAACAAGCTGACTTGGTTTTCAGCCTTCCTCTCTAGGTCCCTAGAACTGTGTTATACGTTGAACAATGTTCCAGATTTCATTATACCTTTTTGTTCACCCACGGAACCAAGGTATTTTGTACTAGAACATATAAATTTACTCATCACAAGAGGAAAACTTCAGACAGTATTGTGCTTCATCTGAACTCTGCACTCCTAGAAAATAATGACAGCAAATTTCACTTGTCCTGTGGCTTACTGCAAAGAACTACTCTTCTTTATAACTTAGATAAAACTCACAGATGGATGGCAATCTTGTAACCTTTCACAAAACCAGATACAGACCCTCCAAATTTTTGGTCTCATACATGATTGGCTGAATTATGTGTTCCCCTTTACCATTCTGGTTGACTAATGCTTAAAAGCTGGACTGGACCAAACCTTAATGACACTTCTCTCCTTCCAAATACCAAATTTACCAATGGAAGGTAAACAACCTGTCTTTAATGGTTCCTCCAACTAATGAATTGACCTCAGGGAAAAATATTCCCTGCTCAAATGTCTAAATGAGCCAGCCCCTCATCCCATTCCTCCACACCCTCTTCTTTTCTAGCCTCATGTATCCTCCCTACAAAAGAAAAAGCTCTTTTCTGTTTAACCCTTGAGATAGTTACAGATCTCATGGTAAAACAGTTCTCACTATTGCAATATTCTTCTGCTCTCTATGCCCTCTCGCTTTTAAATCTTTGTGAGTCCTTTCCAGATTTAACTTTACACTTTCATCCTGAAAGAGGCCAACTTTACAAAACACAAATTAAACCATTAATATCTTCATACTGACTTTTTAAAATAGAATCACAACTTATATCTTTCTTGATATACAGCCACATAATATATAGGAAGTATAAACCAACATAAATAGTATTATCATATTTTCCCAATTTTCAAATAGGAAACTAGATTTTTAAAACAATAAAACATTTTTAAATGGCTGCTGTAATGAAAATGAAAACCTAAAAATCAAACAACTGAGGATTTAAAACCAAAGAAATAATGTTTGTATTTTACTTATATCTGATTCCATTCAATCATCTCTTTACAACCTATTTGATACACAAAGTACTTTTACAAACTTATATTTATTTTGGCTAATTATAAACTTAAAAATTAAACTAACAACCACATAGGTGCTAAAGTTCTTTCTGAAGAAGTTTCTGCAACAACTTATCACTTTGCCAGTGGTCTAGTAACCTAGTCTCAACTTAGCATCTTTCACTCTAGGTAGCATATTATCTATAGCAATACGTAAAATAAATCCTCAATGTTTTTATTCAAGAAGTAAAATATATAAAATATTTCTATACCAATACTGGTATTGTTTTCTAAATTATATTTCTGCTTATGAAAAATATTTTGAAGCATATTCATAATAAAATATGTCACAGAAAAATGAACTACTCACCCGCATTGACTATAGCATCCACTTCTAGCAATGTGATGTCACCTCTATAGAGAGAAACCTTTTCGCTCAAACTTTTCTTTACTTGTGATGTTTCCTGAGTATTTTCTTCTGTAATGAAAAGGGATAAATATTAACATTACTAATCTAATTGACTGTTTAATCAAACCAGCTATAACAGCCAGTATGGTTCACACTATGTTACAAAAAAAGACAAGCAGAAATAAGTGTATAAGTACCTTGTACAAGTTACTCCACATTTATTATTAATATTATGAAAGTATCCATTTTAAAATAAAATTATTATAAGGAAATAAGAAATAAGAAAAAGGAAATAAGAAAAAGTGCAACTGCAAAACAAATTAAATCTTCCCCATAAAGGGCCTTTTATTCTGGGTTTTTTTCCAGTTACTTAAAAGCCTTCTGTGAGAAAAATAATTACATGAGCACAAAAACATTTAAGCTCTGCTCTTCGATACTTCTCAGTAACAAACTGCCCCTTAGGATGAGACATTTCAAGAATATTTGAATATTTGAAACTTTCTTATCAAGTTATACTTAATCTTTTACTATAGAGGGCAGTGCTAGAATTAAAAAAAGAAATAACCCTATCCATCATACAGCCAAATGAGCCAAAATATTACATTCCATAAACCTGATACATCTTTAAATATTTTAGAGTAATACTATAAATCTGAATTGCCATTTATTTTTAACAAATAGTAATGTTAAGACAAACTATCAAACAAATGTATGAAATCAGTTTTAAAATACATTAAATTGCTCTGCATAAAATACTTTTTAATATACTTCTAAGAAAGCAGATTTATAAACTTCAAGTTTTAAAAGTATTTATGATTGGTATGAGTCTTTCATGGGAGAAGATAATGCTATTTATTCAGTAAGACACTCTTAGATGAGCATGCAATGCTAGGTATCTGGGAGAAGTAATAGGTCATAAGACAATTTAATCTCTGAGTCCTAATAGCCAAATAAAATACTGTCAAGGAGTAAGGAAATAACCTATGGCCACTAAACTCATATCTACCTACAAAGAATTCCTTTCTTAGCAACTACCTCTCTCCAAAGGATTCTTATAAAAATATTCACTGGTGGTAGTAATAACAAGGAAAAATGGAATACTTTGTAGAAACTGTAAGTTAAAAGAATAGAGAAAGACTTTAGAATACTTCAACAAATAATACACCTAACATTGAGTTGACCACCTCAGGAAATCATAGAGTACTATTTTCCTCTGTTAGGTAAAGAGCAGACCACTTCCACACTAACTTTCCAAATCTTAGTTCTGCCAATTAACAAATTATACAGCAGAGTTTAGATCAGTAATATATTCTCTCCATACTTCAGTGTGTAAAATACTGGCTCCTTCACACCTGACATGAGCTCATTACATTTAGTATCTTACATTTAGTATAGTATTTGCCTGTCTCAAACACTGTTTTTCACAAAGGTGACAAATATTATTTTGGCATCTATATTCAGCATATATGGACCACAATAGGTAAGATATTTTTTGGAATAAGTTATTTGGAATAAAATATGTTATATGGAATAAAAGGTCAATATACTTATTATTTCCTATTATCTATATAGATCATACTTTATTCTATTACCAAACTGTCAATATCTGGCCCCAAAACAGACTCAAGCACAGCAAGGTTTTCCACACTCAACGGGTTCCTATTTTTACCATCTTAAAGAAATTGGAACGTCTTAATTCCAAGTTAATTATTGTTTAATGGCAATAAATATTTGGTGATGTTCCAAGCAATTCTGAATATTTGGGTCATTGTAAATCTAGAAATTACTGAAGACTCCTCACTGTGTATGAGTTTCAGAATGCTATCATGCATTAAACTGGCAGGTATTTCACAAATAAAAACAAAAGGTTTGACTTTACACTTGGAAGACACAGTAAATAGGTTTCTTGACCATCCTTTAACTGCTTTTAGTACTAAAAACTATTTCATCTTTTTTCATGAAGTATTATATATGCAATGATACATGAGTAGTACTATGATTCTTAAACATATATGACAATAAATCATGTGTTTCTCCAAAAGTAAAGAAATTAGAAAATGTAATGGAAAGCATCAAAGTTTAAACTATTATACTACAGTTCAGTTCTTTAAAAGGAAATCCTAATCTTTCATCTGTAACTTTCTTAAATGAGTATTTTGAGCCCAAAGTGAAAGATCAAGCAATTCAATATACTGAATATACTGTTGTCACATATAATTCAAGTAAGCTAATTAAAAAGATCTTTATGAGTATTACTATCATGATAAAATATTTTCATCTATATTAAAAATCTACATGAATATTTTTGCCTCACTAGCCAGACATACTATAGCTCAATTTCTCAAATAGCATGCCAAAAGAGCATATAATAATTAAGGTTGCATTTGATAATATTAATAATTTAATAATTTATTCAGAATATTAGTAATTATTTAATTCAGAATTTTTTTCAGTGATAAATCAAAACCAAAAGGCATACAGTATTTTTAACCACCAACTGTTCTCTGACTATAAATTACTACTTAGAAATTACCTCATTTGCATATCAATGTGCAGTGCCTTCTTTTTTACACAACTATATTCTATTAGCACTGACCTCAATAAATGTTTTCCCATATCCTGGCTTTCAGGACAAAATGTTCTCAGGTATTTACCCCTCAGGGACATTCTATACGCACATGAAGCACTGATTCAAATTTTGCATCATTGGTTTATTTAAATGCAATTTAAATGTCTGTCGGTGTACACACGACAGTAATTTCTTTTCCACACTGTATACTATTTTCAAAGACAACCAGAACTAGATGATAGCTGAGGCAATAAAATAGATTTTATTCAGAACTGTTATCATATAGAAAAAGAGATTTCAGTATATAACTGATCTCAATTCACAATACAAGAACAAGTGGGGATTACTGACAAGGACCAGAATGGGGATCAGTGGATGAAAAATTGCTAAAAGGAAACATCAAGGATAAGGGGGATTCTGGTTAAACAGCCTTAAGATTCTTGCTGAAGGAAGGCCAGGTGGTCACATATTGCTTGGATGAAGGTAGGGGATGAGGAGTTTCATCAGACATAGAAGGGCAACAGATATTAAAGGTGAAGGACTCTCTCTAAACTGACTTAGCTACATTCTTGCTAAAATTGGCCAATGAGGGTCTGACAAGACTGGGAACTACAGGAGAAAGAGGCTTAGGGAACCTTACTAAAATTAACTTAAGGATGGGGCTGGGGATTTAGCTCAGCGGCAAAAGCGCCTGCCTGGCAAGCACAAGGTCGTGAGTTTGGTTCCCGGTACCGGAGAAAAACCAAAAAAAAGAATATTATACATCATGACCAAGTGAGATTCATCCCAGGAATGCATGGATGGTTCAATATACACAAATCAATAAATGTAGTTCACCATATCAACAGA